GTTGCATGTGCTTGAACAATAAAGGTCTGGTTCAGAAAAAGTTCTGACCCATGACATAGTAATACAGTTAAAACTAATTAAGTTCAGCCCTGGAAATTTAACGTAAGATGCTCTGTACTACAGCAGCCCCAGTCAGCATGGTGAATGGTCAGGGATGATGCAGTTCAACAACATCTGAAGGCCACAGGCTAACTTCTCCTGCTTTAGAAGGTGGCATATTATACAAATAAAACGACATTCTGTTGCCCATTTAGTTGGAAGAGTCATCTGCAATGCAGGAATCACAAATAAAGCATCCCTGACCAGTGTTTTTTTTCTTTTAAAAAATGTTTAGGAATACTCTCATTTTGACTCAAGAAAATCACCATTTTATAGTTCAAATCGGGGAAAATAAATATAGTAAATGGACAAAAGTACAAAGATTCACAAAATGTTTAGGGGGTACGCATACCCCTGCATCACCTCAGAAAAAAAGCACTGTCCCTGACATCTAAACTCTGCTTAAAAACCTCCAATGAAGAAGAGCTCACAACCTTTCAAGGGTGTTTGTTCCACTGTCAAAAATTATAAATGAGAAATTAGTTCCATGGGGAGGGGGTTTAAATTGTACATTTAAGAGTGAATTTCGCAAAGGAATTATTGGTCTAGTGCAGGCTTCCTCAACCTCGGCCCCCCCAGATGTTTTGGGACTACAACTCCCATCATCCCTGACCACTGGTCCTGCTAGCTAGGGATCATGGGAGTTGTAGGCCAAAAACAGCTGGAAGGCCAAAGTTGAGGAAGCCTAGGGCTAGTGGTCTGCTGAGTCTGATTACTAGTTTCAACAGATCTTCAACAGTATAATTCAGCTGATTTCTCTTTTCTAATTAACACCATATACTGATTGAATACAATCAGTTGCTAATATCCAGGGTTGCCTTGGTTTAGACCAGTGTTTCCCAACCTTGGGCCTCCAGCTGTTTTTGGACTACAACTCCCATCATCCCTAGCTAGCAAGACCAGTGGTCAGGGATGATGGGAATTGTAGTTCAAAAACAGCTGGAGGCCCAAGGTTGGGAAACACTGGTTTAGACAGCTATAACATTTCACATTATCTTCTCTGCTAACAAAGATTACCCTTTTCTATGCAGTGTTCAGGGTTGCAGTCACAATGTTAACATAAGATACCACTAGTCTACCTAAGTTTCCATGTTTATGCTTCCGTGGTCCATATCACACAGTATTGGTCTCAGAGTTTTCAAAGAACATATCTGGAACTAACAAAGGTGCTAGGCTTTTTCATCCTTCCTAGAAGAATGGGTCACATTAACTGGTGTAGTTAAAACTGAGTACTGGAGGCAATCTGATATAGACCTGTATTGTGGCTAGGTTGTCCTGTAGTCCCTTTGGAGTGGAATTTAGAAAATGACCATACGTAAGGCATGATATACAATGGGAATGAGACGAAGGCTAACTTGCAACCCTCCAGATGTTGCTAAACTTCAACTCCCAGCATACTGACCATTGGACATACTTGCTGGGGCTAATGGAAGTTGGAGATGAACAGCATCTGGAGGGCTGCAGGTTAGCCATCCTTGCAATAGAATGAAGAATTGTACAAAATTACAGCTCTAATGTTTTACAGAATATAATCAGCTGAGACCAGCAGATGAAAGAAACAAGGCCATTGTCAAAATCTACTTATATTTACATTCCTGTTGTTCATAATTAGCAGAATTATCTTCTTCATAAAAGCCTGCATGTGTGGAGCTGTGAGTCTGAAAAAGTATCCTTCAAACTATGTTTTATATTACTTTTCATGGTTCATCTCTTGTTGTGGAAATCATTATTGCGTTACTTGCTTAGAACAATAGGATGTGAAAGCCATTCAAACAAAGCCCTATGATTATTTATTGCCTCGTAGCAATCTGCTGAGGCATCAATAGTAAATATGAAAGGTCAGGAACAACATTAACTACTACCCTTCCGAAAGCAAACCTTTCTGTGATAGATGATGACAATGACTAACTTACATGACTATTCGGCACTTTCCCTAGAGAACGTGCAAAAATATGTTCATTCTCATGCTATTATTATCCATATTATTCACTTTTCACACAGAGAAGAGAGTCCCAAGCAACTTAGAAAATAAATGACATTAAATATAATCATAAAACAATCATGAAGCATAATGACCAAGCACAGTACATATATAACAATTATTCCAATTGATGTGTGCACTGATAGTTTTCTAGGGGTGCATCCATTTGCGGGTGAAGCTAAACAAAGTTATGTTGTGCAGTTATTCATCATCATCATCATCATCATCATTTATTATTTCTACCCCGCCCATCTGGCTGGGTCTCCCCAGCCACACTGGGTGGCTTTCCAACAGAAGGTTGAAAATACATTAAAACATCAGTTATTAAAAACTTCCCTAAACAGGGCTGCCTTCAGATGTCTTCTAAATGTTAGAGTTATTTATTTCCTTGACATCTGATGGGAGGGCATTCCACAGGGTGGGCGCCACTACTGAGAAGGCCCTCTGCCTGGTTTCACAACAGTATTCTGTTGCTGTTATTGTTCTCTGTTGCTACAGAGGGCAGACTGGAAATTGCGAGGAAAGAGATTTTGGCAAAATTTTCAGGGACACTTTCTGGTGGCATGAGCTGTTCAACTGTGGAACAGACTGCCTTGGGAGATAGTGGACTTTTCATGTAGATGCTTCATGCATAGCACATCTGCAAGTAGTACTGTGGGATATGGGGTGGTCTAAATAACACACAAAAGTTCTTTGAAACCCTAGGATGTGCTTTCAAGTCTGTCACCCCTCCCCCTTTTTATAAAAAAATTGTTTTAAATATACAAATTACATACAGAGTATCAGTATGCATACTGACATTCACAAATAATAATAGTAAATAATTCATATATCCACCAAACTGCTCAGTTTCAAAGAAATGCAAGAAGAATGAAGAATAAAGTACCGTATATACTCGAGTATAAGCCGACTTTTCCAGCACATTTTTTATGCTGAAAAAGCCCCCCTCGGGTTATACTCGAGTGAGGGTCCTTTCAGGCTCCTCCTTCCTACTACTCTGCCTTTGCCGGTGTTGGCGGCAGCAGAGGAGGAACGAGCAGCCCTTTTGGGCTGCTTGTTCCTCCGCCGCTGCCGCCGCCACCACCAGGTTTGTGGTGTGGTGAACCGGCTTATACTCGAGTCAATAAATTTTCCCAGTTTTTTGTGCTAAAATTAGGTGCCTCAGCTAATATTCAGGGTCGGGTTATACTCGAGTATATACGGTAAATTTGCAGCGGTATTATTCTGTCATTGATAAGTACTCCAAACCACACACATGGAACTCAGTTGCATAAAATACTTTCCATGCTCTGTATAATGGAAGGAAGAATTCTGCATGAACAAAGAGATACACCGATGCACTGGATTATATAGAATATTGCTGCTAAACCCAGCGATGTCCTTACTGAGATAACTGAGTAACTGCCCACTACAGTGCAAACAAAATTCTGAAATGGCACAAACCTGTGCTTTGCATGCAGCATAAACATAATATCTCTGCCAAATCATATGGTTACTCAAATCTACCAACTTTGATGAAGTTTATCTTATAAATCTTCATTTCACATTCTTTTTTGCAAGATTTCTTTTTTCTTTTTTTAGGAAGGACAATTCTCACTGTTTCACATGTCTATGATTGCACCAGATCAGCAAATAACACAAAAATATTTCAATTTCATAACTAACAGGAATATAATTTGGAAAAACAAAAACAAAATCTGGTTGTGTGCCAAATGAAAACTAATGCAAGTCAGCAACTCTCCATGGGGCCATGGTAAGATGAATGATTTGATCCCTTCTGTATTATTTATTATGCCTTTTTATCTATGAATTTTAAACTATCCATTACCAGAAATGATGCCTATTTAAATAATATTATGACAGTGAGTTTTTTCTTTTCCCTAAAAGCTCTTTCCATCAAATCTGCAGTTAATACCATAGAAGTTAAGCCTCCATACTTCTTCCAATTGTTGTCAGGCTGTATAATACCCTCTGTATTGTATGGGATTATTTGCTTACTTGCCGCAGCATGCAAGAATGTGAATTGCTAATTGGTATCCAATGCATTTTAAATAATTAGTGATGATTGCTGTATTTGAAGTGTAAGTGATTGTAAAATGTGCTGCTTGGCAAAAGTCCAGAAAACTAACACAGTATTTGGGATAATTATAGACAGTTAAATTGCTTTGGGTGTATTAATTGATAAGGTACATAAAAAGTGAAGGAGAAGAGAAAAGTAAAAGTGTCTAAAATTCTGTGTGGGTCCACAGATTTGCTTCTTAGGTTCTGGCCTTATATTATTTGGAAATGTGAGTAATTTGGGGCCTACAATTATTATTTGATTTAAGTTATTTGGCCTTTACACTTTAATTGCAAAATAATTTCTATACTGACACCATTAATAAAAAGAATCATAGCAGTGAACAGCATAAAATCAACCATAAAATTACATCCACAAAACAAGCACCAAATACATCATGTTGTTTCAAATACACACATTTGAATAACCTGTAATAACTGTCTCCATCACTCAACAAACTCCCTTATGGGATGTTTTCTTTTGCAGAATGTTAAATACTATTACATTTCTAATGAGGTTGTTCCCAGAACGGCACTGCAATTCTGGCAGCCCAACGATACCACTGTACTCCATTATAGCCTGAACACAGCACTAAGGAAGTATAAAATAGGGATGGAGGAAAACCACATTTCCCCCTCTCAGTATTCCTCCATTCCTGCCTTATTCAAACCTCTGCCCATGTTTAAAATAGCCACTTTTCCCTATCCCTTCTCGCCATCCCATTCCTCAGCTGCCTCACATGAGAAAGGTAAAGGATGTGGAGCCCTCAAATCTTCCCATGATACTTTATTCAATCCTGTGTTCTTGTAATATAATAATAATAATAATAATAATAATAATAATAATACTGAAATCGATTCCTCACCAATGTTCTGCTAGTTCCTTTGGAGCAGGATACACCAACAGTTACAAAATGTTTGGTATTAATATAAGACAGCTTTCTGTAGACAGATAAATCAAATGATAACAAATTTAAATTGCTTAATAAGAACCTGTATCCGAACATCTTGACTGGGCTTAGTTTCAGCGATTACACTTAAAGAATTTTTTTGCTGGTTTTCATTTGTCATATTTCTATTTTGGTAGCATTTTATTTCATTTATTATTGCATTTATATATTGCCTTCCTGCCAAGGCACACAGTACAGTTATTCAATATTTATCTATATTTTATCTTATATTTCCCCAAAGTATTGTTACTTTCTCTGAATCCTTGGCATGGAAAGAACTAACATAAAATGAATGAATAAATGCTTTCAACATACAGTATTTGAAATGGTATTCTACCTTTTTTGTAGGAATTTGTCTATCAGTGTTATTAGTCATGCTAGCTTAACTCCAGATCCAGACACAATAAGCCCTAAATAACAGTTGTGGAGAAACAGTGGTTGAGGGCTGTTGCCTTCAAACCCTATCTGCGGGCTCCATGGAGGTATCCGGTTCCTACATTATGGTGCTTGGTTCAGAAATAAAAATTCAAGAACCAACATAGAGCTCCTTGTGTTACATCCTTGAAAGCTATATAGCTGAACTAGTGTGAAGCACTCATATCATTAAAACCTTTTGATGTTGTAGGGTGTTTGTTTGTTTGTTTGTTTTTTGCAGGGTAAGGAATTCAGTTTGATTGTATCAAACTGAATATGAGTTGATACAGTGGTACCTCAGGTTACATACGCTTCAGGTTACATACGCTTCAGGTTACAGACTCTGCTAACCCAGAAATACTGCTTCAGGTTAAGAACTTTGCTTCAGGATGAGAACAGAAATCGTGCTCCAGCAGCACGGCAGCAGCAAGAGCCCCCATTAGCTAAAATGGTGCTTCAGGTTAAGAACAGTTTCAGGTTAAGAACGGACCTCCGGAACAAATTAAGTACTTAACTCGAGGTACCACTGTATATACATGCTAAATCCTTATCTAAAAATGCTAGCAGTCACTCAAGAAGCTGACTTTTTTTGGGGGGGGGGGACTACGACACAGTTACAAGTAACACATTAACACAAATATTCATTCTGATTATTTTTAGTATTCTGACATTTGTGTGCACATGCATTAAAACAAGAAATATTTTAAACACAATTTCAAGACATTTATGTAATCTGCATTCTCCCCTTCTCTCAGTGGACTCTGAGAGTGAGGATAATGAACTGGAAAGGCAGATTTCATGACTCATGGGTGTGCATTACACATGTGCTTAGGCCAATGTGCCATGCCGGAGGACAGATAATCCTCTCAGGGATGGCTTGGTGGCTCTTTCCCTGCCCACAGTCAATCCTTTTAGAACTTATTTAAACGTCTGTCACAAGGAAGATGGAGCAAGCTTGTTTCCTTCCGCTTCGAAGGCTAAGACCCGAACCAATGGCTTCAAATTAGAAGAACGTACATTCCGACTAAACACCAGGAAAAACTTTCTGAATATAAGAGCTGTTCAGCATCAGAACAGACTCCCTCAGAAGGCGGTGGTCTCTCCTTCTTTGAAGATACTGAAGCAGAGGTTTGATGGCCATCCGTCATGCATGATCTAGTTGAGATTCGTGCATTCCAGGGGTGGACTAGATGACCCTTGCGGTCCTGTCCAACTCTACAATTTTATGATTCCAGTCATGTGAAAGCCCACACAGCCGAAAGGTGTTTGGTTTAGTTTGGATGGTGTGTTTAGCATCAGCTTTAAGATAGGCTTAGTACTGTGGCATCAGAGTTCTATAGAAAGTGAAGACTTTCAGCTGATGCCTTCTTTTGAAATTAATTGTGGTACCTCAGGTTAAGAACTTAATTCGTTCTGGAGGTCCGTTCTTAACCTGAAATTGTTCTTAACCTGAAGCACCACTTTAGCTAATGGGGCCTCCCGCTGCCGCCACGCCGCTGCCGAACAATTTCTGTTCTCATTCTGAAGCAAAGTTCTTAACCCGAGTTATTATTTCTGGGTTAGCGGAGTATGTAACCTGAAGTGTCTGTAACCTGAAGCGTCTGTAACACAAGGTACCACTGTATTTTAAAAACATGTGATTATCCTGAATGTTTACAGTGTCATGAAACATGATCTTACTTTCTAACCTTTTCATGAACAGAATAGGTTTTAAGAAATGATTACAGCAAAAAGAATTTCCATATTGATACAATAAACTGAATTTATTAAGATATCTGAGCAATCAGAGTTTAAGGTTAACATTAAGACTTCATTGATATACTCTAGTAAAACTAGTCTGGTTAAAAAAAAAGTAAGTTATGTATACATTAATAAATGACAGCATTTGTTCAAATTAATATAGTACAGTCTTTCTTCCATCTTTTGACCTGCGGTATCAAAGGCACAGGAAATGAGCTTTAATTTATGAAAATCAAGCTTTGCCTACAGCTGAATAAGGTTGCAATAATTTATTGTACATTCATAAAGTAACTGTTATGAAGCTCAAAACTGGCATTCAGGTGAGGTAGAATGAAGTACCAATGACATAGGATCTATCCCTCATATTATTAGTGGAGCTGCATATACACAAGCATTACCTAACCATTCATTCACATAGTTGATACTAGCCAACATATTTAAATACATTGCAATTGTTGATGCCATAGAATAGCCTTAAACAGCTGTGCAGTGATATAAACAGCAATAATTCACTGAGGGATGCTGCTAGATCTGTGGCAACAAAGACACTGATTAATCAACATGATATCACAATAGCAGCCTGCAATATTGTGCTCAGGGCATTTTTGTGCAATAGTACAATAGAGGAGAGGGTGGAACAGAATAGAGACCAAGGGAAAATGTATTTCTATGTATTTATGCACCAAACGACATTCTTGTCTTTATAAGAGCAGCACACAGGGTTTCATTGCTAGTGAACTGCTTCAAGCATTTAAATAAAAAGTGTGTGTATATACACGCTCTCTCTCTCTCTCTCTCTCTCTCTCTCTCTCTCTCACACACACACACACACACACACACACACACCAGATAGATAGATAGATAGATAGATAGATAGATAGATAGTTGGTTAGTTAGTTAGTTAAAAGAAGAAGCCATAATCAAATCATGGTTTGGGATGCTGGCGTGAACATTGAAGCTATGGGGAACTGTAGTTGGTTTAAAAATAGATTAAATTCCTCCAGCACGTGAAAAATGAAAAGTTGCAATGGCTGGATCCATACTAGTGAAGTAACGTTTCCTACAGAGTCTGAACTGGGCCACAATATTCAACTGTTATTAGGCATGAATGACCAATGTGGCAGCCATCTTCCCTCTGGGAAGGATACTGCATTATGGCATAGCATTGTTATTTCCTGGAATAGTTCCCAGGAACATGGCCAGAGCAGCCATGCCATTGCTTGAAGTTGTGGCAAGCCTTTTCTTGTTGTTAAAGAAGAAAAGAAAGGGAAAGTTGGCCACCATATATTTAGTGTAAGATGAATTTTCTTCACCCAAATCATCCTGCTTCTAAAAAGGAGGGAGATTTGGTTTAATACCTAGCACTCATAAAAGCTGTCTTTTTCAAATTATTTGTTCTTTCTCCAAAATGTTTTTTTTAATTTCTGTAATAGCATAATGTGTGTGTGTGTATATCTATTTTTACAGTGCAATATTTGTGTATTGTGTGTGTGTGTGTGTGTGTGTGTGAGTGTGTGTGTTCAAGCAGCAGGCATTCTAGATGAATCTCTGTTAAGATCTGAAGGATTTTTTTAGTTTGATATTTAGGGCATTATATGTAAATCATCTTATTTATAACCTTTATTTTATACTCAGTGATGTAGGAAAGAATTCTTCTCAATGCTTTGTTTTTTGGTGGAAAAAAATTCTTTTCATAAGTTCATTATTAACAATGAATGAATGCCAGTTCCAAATTCAATATTAGGCAAGCTTGGCAGTTTCAAAGTATTTATCTTTCTTTACTAAATGTATGTAAAATAAGAATGCTAAATTAGAACACTTTCTAATGCAAAGTGAACATTTTCTAATGCAAATTATCCAATGCAATAATTTGCATAGAATTTTTTTTCTATTCAAAACTTTCCAGAAACCCAGTATAACTGTTTATACTTTTAGCTGAACAAAAGAGATTATTTCCATTATGCAATGGGAAAATGTGGTATTACTACAGTAGTGATTACCAATGACAGCTAAAAAAATGATGCAAGTGTATCTGCTTGGCCTACCCTGCAGCAGCTCTCTGAATTGAATGTTAGCGTATTAATTTCAAATGTTAATTAGTTTCACTTAATTTTTAGAAGATGTAGTGCTGCACCTGTTGAATACAGTGGTACCTCGGTTTACATACACTTCAGGTTACAGACACCACTAACCCAGAAATAGTACCTCAGGTTAAGAACTTTGCTTCAGGATGAGAACATAAATTGTGTGGCGGTGGCGCGGCGGCAGCAGGAGGCCCCATTAGCTAAAGTGGTGCTTCAGGTTAAGAGCAGTTTCAGGTTAAGAATGGACCTCCGGAACGAATTAAGTACTTAACCCGAGGTACCACTGTATGTCTTTTAAAAACACAGGAGGTCTACTGGAACAGCAACAACAAATGAAAAAGAAGGTTAATTTTTGACTAAGCACTGTTAATTTTTTGAATGCATTAAGTCCTGATATTTAGATGAGAAGGACACCCATGGGAGATGTCTAGGGATAAATCTTGTCGGGATGAGCAATTAGATGTGTTAAGAAGAAAGATGAGCAGTGAAATCTAGACATGTGAAGAATGCAGAAAATGGAGTGCAAAGCCCTTTGGCAAAAGTTGACAGGCTATGATGAGACGGAACAAGGAGAAACGCATCAGTAGAAAACATAAGAGCATCACAGCAGGAGAAAGAACTGCATAGGTTCTGCCTTATCAGACTGTGAAGAGACTCACCCAAACTATCACTCTCAGCTGTTGCTTAAGTCAGGCAGGCACATTACTTAATTGGCATGGCAGGTAGCAAAAGTGCTTCCCCCAAAGACCCCGGT